AAGGCTGGCTGGGGAATTCTGGGAGTTGAAGTCCACACATCTTGAAGCTGCCAAGGCTGAGAAACACTGATCTAGGTTATGTTTGCAGGGAAAGAGGACGCAGCAAAGCAGCTGTTCTGGTAAGTAAGAAGACAGCTTGCCTACTTCACTATCTTCTGGTTCCCTGAGCAGAACACCTTCCAACACTAAAAAATGGATTTGGACGCACACCCTTTACTGAAATTATAATCAAATTTTATTCATTAACAGCCAGCCTCTGCTGGTTAACCACTATTTTGGCAACAGAACATTAACAGGCTCCAGTCAGATGTGATCTGGATGATCATCCGAACCAAGTCATACAGGCAATAATAATAATAATAATAATAATAATAATAATAATAATAATAATAATACATAATATCACCAGTAACTGGAACAGTGTAATACAACAGTACCAACATCTACTCTTTTGAGTTTTAAGGGACTTTTTTATTTTTATTTTTAACAAAAGAACTCTCTCTGGTCCAAATTCTCTTTCCATTCCATTCCGCCGCCTCCTCTTCCAGACTCACAGGTAATACAGACTCTCCGAGAGGGATAAGTTTGGTTCTCTGTGGATACTTTGCCCCACAAGGAAAGCCAGTTTATGAGCATACTGGCACGGAGCAGGCACTCTAATGATTCCCTGCAGAGAAAGGGACAGACACAAAAAACAGCCCATCAGGACCGTTTTTTAAGGAAGTAGTCATATTCCGGGACGTGGCAAGCTTCAACTTGATGGTTTTGGAATCAAGAAGAAAGTTAGGGTTTTAGGGTGTACTTTCAAGAGACAAATCTGACTGAAGAGGCAGGGTCTGGCCTATGACTGTGAAGCCTCCTCCAGATTCTAAGCAGAAAAAAATGGAATAGAAACTCAACAGGGACAGATCCAGCAGGAAGATACAATCAATCTATGGATGGAGATTTTTAAATATAACCTTATCTAAAGTATTAGGAGGCAAACTAGGAGAGATACCTGTGATTCACTCATCCACAAAAGCTATACTTTGATGTGAGGCTATGCTGGGAAAGATCAGGGAAAAAAAAAATCAGAAGTCTATATATGGGTTGGGGATAATCAGAAGCTTATGAACTTGATAGCAAGGGTTCATCTACAATTACACTGTATATTTAGATAAGTACATTCACAATATTACATTCCTGAGCTGCGTAGCTTAATAATATCTAAATGCAACCGATTTGTTGGTCCTGTTATCAAATTTCTGTGTTGCTTTATTTAGTCCAAGTTATACATTTTAAGGAATTTTCTAGCAGGCTTAAACCACTACTGTACTGATTTTCCTTTTCTTTCCATCTTAACTTGCTAATTCAGGTAGAGAAAATCCACTCCCTACATAGGTTCAATATTCAACTTCTTTTGGAGCAAGGAAGGACCAGAATTAGAAATGGGAAGTTTCTTCTCTTGAACGTTGAGGGTAAGAAGCCTATAGCATCATTTGTGTATGCTCCAAGTCAGTGTTTCTCAACCCTGGCAGCTTTGAGATGTCTGGACTTCAACTCCCAGAATTCCCCACCCAGCCACTGCTCTAAGTTATCATGAACAATGGAAGGTCCACTAAAAGGCAAGTCTTACTTACCGGCCAATTGTAATACATATGGCACAACTTATACGTCAGCCTCTGCATGTAGTCAGGCTTCAGCGCACTGTTGTCATAGATTACATTGTAATGCGTGGGTGAAACGGTGCCAATTCTCACTGACTGGCTCACAATGAAGAAATCATACCTATGGGAGAACCAGATCAAAACTATCTGAGATACATTCAGGCTTAGAGAACCTCATCCTCTTCCAGATCACATATTCCATCCAATGATTGACCTTAAAGCAGCCTACTCTGCACTCAAAACAGGTCCCTTCAGTGTCTAATGGGGGGTCTACGGGTGGTTTGTAAGGTAATACTTCCCTTTATTTGAAATTGTTCAGGTGATGGGTGTCAACATTTCTTGGCTCCCACTGGGCTTTGCAAGGGCCCAGCCTGGTCCCCTTCCTTTCTGCACCTTGGGTCTCACAAGGAAATGTGAGATAGGAAACCTATTTCCTTCTCCCTTTGCTTGGCCTTATCTCACACCAAAAATCTATAGCTTCCAATTAAACCCGGGGTAGAGGAGTATGCAGATGGCCTTGAAGAACATATTCAACAGCTGTTAGATAAACATCAGCTTAACCCTGGAAGGGAGGGAAGAGTGAGACTGCCCTGTTGTCAGCCTTACCAGGTAGACCAGACAGGAGACATGACTGGATAAGCTAATTCTACTTTATTGTAAAGCTACATTAACAGAACTTTGCAAATCTGAAAGTACAATTCCTCCCTCCCCTCCCCCCCGGTATCCTTTACAGCCTGAGAAACTAGGGAGGGTCCCTTCTGAGCCTCTTTCTCCACCCGTTATGCAGCTGTGGGCTGTGCCCTCTCTTATCTGACCATTCCCTTGGCAGCATCTCTTGGCCCTGTCTCCCAAGGTCTTTCCCACATACCATTACACCTGCTTGATGCTGTTTGGTATAAGTGTGGGGAGAAAGAATCAAGATTCTTTTGAAACAGAATTCCAGTCAGGTTTGAAGAATGCAAAATACACAATCAAGAGAGTTCATCTCATAACCCTCCTTCCCCAAGGAGAACCCCGAAGAATATAAATCTTTACATTTCCTGTCTTTATGCACCTGTATATATGTTTCCCTTGAAGCAACTGCTTACTTTACTTACCATTCTGGTCTGGTAACCTCTATATCAATCACTGTGCCAGGTGGTGGATTCTGTAGTCTTCCATCAATTTGGGCAAAGAATCTGTTGTTTACACGCTTCTTTACCACTATCACTGTTAGTTTGGGACTTGAGAAGATCACGCAGAAAGGATTAGTTTGCTTAAAGAGCCCAAAGTTTCTCAAGTCGTACATAAAAGTTAAACCTGACTTCCGTTTCTTTTAATTGATCGTCCTCTGCTATTCTTGGACGAATTAAAACGTGCAATGATTATAGATCTTACAGTCTCCCCCCCCCACCCATCACCAAATTTATTCTAGAAATCCTCTTGGTTCAAGAAACAAGAGCCATGCAAAATTACTAAGCACCTTACAGAGTTGAAGCAAACTCTTGTTTGGAATATGGTGGTCTCTCCGATCAAACCCTATTCCTCCAGTCAACTTACCTATAGTCTCTCCCAATTGTTTTCAAACATTCCAAAAACTGTGGGACTTCATAGCTCACCAAGGTTTTTAGCTGACCATCGCCAACACCATCCCGATACACAATGATTCGAGAAGGCATGTGGTTGTTGTAGGCATACCAAGACCTTAGTGCCGCTAAGGAAAGACAGGACAATGATTTACAAGAATTAAGCCAGATCCTCTACTCAAAGGAAGTGCTTGCTCCAAATCCCCACCCGTCGCCCCAAAAGAAATCAGCTTCTTTTTATCAAGACTATGATGTTTCAAATGTAGTACTGTCGTTTCTTTAGACGGGTAAAGCTCTCAAGCACTGGGACTTCATCACAGCTATTTTACCTTGTAAGCACACTTTGAGTCCATCCACAAGTTCTTGCCCACGGTCTTGAAGCACACAGCGTGAATACCAGCTGTCGAGAGACGGGAAAAAAAGGCTCAGGTCTCCAGAGAGTTCCTTCCCTGCTGCCAATGACAGTCCCAGCAAAAAAAAACACCCCTGAATGCAGCACAGCATTTGTGCAAATCACATACAGTACACCTTTTCCTAAAGGAAGATTTACAGCCCTTGAAAACATTGAACAACCTTACCGGGTCATTCCCTGGTTCAAGCTAGCGACAAACCCCGCAATCGATCGGCGTCCGGCAGTGGTATCATGGTAACAGTCGATTCCCACAATCATGAGTTGTTTCAGCTGGAATATTGGAGAAAGAAAAAGCAAGCTATTGTTATCAAACCGTGGACTGCGCAGAGCTTCCCACGTATTCACAAAATTATGCCTGCCCAATCAGTCAATGAATTGTTTAGCGGACAGAAAAACCCTCGTAAACACGTACGTAAGAAGCTAAGCGTCCTCAACCTTCAAGGATCAATATGCTAGAAAGCTACCAAGCTAACCCTTATAACCTGCCTAAAAGACTGGCTTTTCCCTGTTCCGGGCTGCAACGGTTACCATCTGACTATCTTTCCTCATCTCCCTTTCTCTAACTACTGTGGTCTTGTCCTCACCCTAAATTCTTCTTCATCCCCATCAGTCACAGTTCTTGAGAGCACCACTCCACACAACATCTTAATTAGTGAAGGAACACCTGTAAATGACCTGACCCTCAACACCCCTGCTATGACCCTCTCAGGGCCATATCTTGTGAGGAAACTTCAGTTTGTCTTCCATGTTGGCTTGTGTCCCTACAGCCACATAAAGCGCCATCTGATCTTTATCTCCAACATCTTTCTACCAGCAATGATCATCTCAAGGCTTCCTACTCACCACTTACTTCTCTCCAACAGGAATTGGAAACACAAAGAGCGATTTATAAGCATTAACCCAAAGACTCAGTTCAAAGTTTTGTCTTTTGAACTCCTTGGAAAGGACATTTCATTAAAGGATGATTAAAGGAAAAAGTCCTTTCAAAGGTTTTGTAGGACAAAAATCCTGAAATTGCCCTTCCTTTTTCCCATTCTTGTCACCAGTCAGACAAAGCAAAACATTGCAGGTCTACATAAAGGCAGTAAGTCAGCCAGATGATATTGTCAATGAATTGGGGCAAAGAACAAGGTGTCGCAAAACAAGCTAAGTCACATTTAATATTTATGTGGGTTTCCTGCATGGCTGCTAAACTAAACACCCCTTAAAAGGTTCTGGGGGGGGGGGAAGCTACTTACCGGGATTTCAACACTCCAGAGTTCGCCCCCCATCTTACAGTTCATCTGTAAGGCAATTTTGGTGGCTATCGCCATTACAGTTTGGGGCTTGCTCAGCGTGCGAGCAAGGACACACTGGCTTGGCGTGGGACAATCGGTACACAAGTATTTCTTGATTGCATCGTATTTGTCTTTACGGTTACTGGACAGGATGCAGACCACCTTGAAGAAGGAAAGATATTCAAGACATCCCAGTTACTACTGAAAACCTTAAGAGTGTCTCTTCCAACTTTTGGGGAATGATGTCTCAAGTTACATTCCCTGAGCTACAACAGTGAACCCAACATCATCTTTCACCTGCTTTTATGTCTGGCATTAGGAGAAGTAAATCTGGGGTGCTCTTGAACCAGAGGACCCTTGCAGTCCTATACTCCTATCCTTCCAAAGATGCTCAAGGACCATTTGGATGACCCAGTTTGAGAACATTATACTATTAGCATTTTAGTAAAGAACAAAACACTGTTTTGTGTGAGTGGGTGTTTCCTGAGCATGATCAGAAGCCTTCTGGAGGGTCCAGAACTCGCCCCCCACCCATTTTCCAATCATGTTCACACATGACCGCTGAACCTTACAGACCATATTCAATCCTGATCTTGACATGAGACATCATTTGGTAAGAGAAGTGGGATCTGACTGGCTTCCTGCCCCGTTTATTTTTCATAGCAAAGCTCCAGAGTTTTTAGCCACCCGCCAAAGGAGCTCACTGGGTTGAAACCAGAGCAACCTTATGGTCTACTGCATGCTGTACTCAATTCATAACCTTGGGTAGGGCAATTAGGGAGTTCCAGCAAGGATCAGGGAAACCATGATCACATTACAGTTCATAGAATCACATGGTCCATACCATCTGGGTATTGGAGGCAATCTTCTGCTTCAAGGTTCTCAAGTACGCCTCTGTTCTGTCCTCGACTTCAACCCTACAAAAGAAGGCCACCTCTTTTACCACTAGCTGTATAAGCCAGTGCTTCTCAACCTTGGCAACTTGAAGATCTGTGGACTTCAACTCCCAGAATTCCCCCCCCCCCCTGGGGATTTTGGGAGTGGATGTCCACACTCCTTTAAGTTTCCAAGTATAGGAGAAAAGGCCGGAAAAACCCTGGCCC